TCCGGAAATGCCAGGAAACTAAGAGATACATGATACTACAAAGACTGTTAAGGTACCGGAAACTTATCTGGATGAAAGAAAAATATCCGCACGGGAGATCACGTACGCCAAGCGTTCAAGGATACACGCCTGTCTGCTCACCACCGCCGGTCCCTCGCTCCATTTGGTCCATAAATGCCTTCACATTTTCCCCCTCAACAGCCCAGCCCAAACATCCACGCCCGTCTGCGTCTGTTTGACAACGATGAATCCTGGCCTGGCCTGTCCTCGGCATTGCGCCTCCTAGTCCGAATCACTGCTTGATTCGTCTTCGTCTTCCCACTCCTCGTTCTCGTCCTCTGTAATCCTCTGCACCCGTCCTGCTGCGCCGTCCTCCGGTCCCCGCACAGCGCATTGTTCCATCCAAGAGCTCGTACTTATTGTTGCCCCGGCCTCGCGAGCGGCATCCTGCAGCTGCTGCAAGTAGTAGTCCCTGCCTTTGTAGCTCCATCGCGTCACCCATTTTGTGCGCTGAGCGGTTGTAAGCGGGATAGTCTTGTCGTCCTGGCTGATGCATGTCGGTGCAGAGAGGATCTCTCCAACGGTAAGATTGTAGTAAGTGTCACGTGGCGGCTTGATCACTACAGTGACCTTTGATGGACCCATACGAGGCTGCACTAGGATGCGTTCCTCCAGTATGCCGCCAATCAGGCCCATCGTGGCATCCTCAGTCTCACAGTCGATCCACAACTCAGGAACGTGAGGGCTGTTCATCTCGGTGAGCGCGGCTTCCAGTTGGGCGAGTAGCAAAGATATGCCAGTGTCACCAATATTTGGACATACAAAAGTGACCGTTTCAATACGTATGCCGGTGTTGCTACTAGTGATGTGCGGGCCCGGCTTGGGCTCAAAGCCCGGGCTTGGGCTCGGCTTAGGAGGGCCAGGGCCTGAGACGAGGACAAGCCCGGCCCTGAGCCCTGAGAGCAGGCCAGGTCAGGCCCGGCTCGGGCTTAAGCCCTGGGCTTGTAACGTGTCGAAGGGCCTCTGGTACTGTTGGGACCCCGTAGACCCTTCATCGCTCGAGATACCTTTCTCGCTCTGTACACCCAAATAGTCTGAATCTTGCCTGCTCAAACTCGAGTATATCATACAATAGAAGCTTCATTGATGTACAAACCAACCTACATAGAGCCTACATTACTGGGTACTGGCGGTGGTGGTGGCAGGTGACTCAGTAGATAAATTCTCATAGATGTCGTCGTCGTCCTCCAATATCTCATCCCATGAGTGCTCACCACCTTCCTTCGACTCGTCACCCTCTACCAGCTCACCATCATTGGTAGTAGTGTCAACACTGTCATCTGCCGCATCCAAAAGTGACTCATCTTCTTGCGCCGAACAAGGGCCATGTTCTTTGAACAGCAGGTCACGCTGGATGGCGCACTTGAGGCATTGCAAGCCCTCGACAATATCACCCTTGAGACAGTTACGGCGTTTGCTGATAGTTATGCCACCCTGCGAGAAGGCACGTTCACTTGAGACTAGTGATGTGCGGGCCCGGCTTGGGCTCAAAGCCCGGGCTTGGGCTTGTGGCAACGTCGAGCCGAGCCCTGAGCCCGAGCCGAGCCCGAGCCCGGCCCAAGCCGCAGGCTTAAGCCCGGGCTTGCTCACAGTACAATGGATATTCTGGTGCTATGAAAAGGGAGTATGTTTGGATGTAGTAGATTATTGCTGCATGTACTCACTGAATTCAGCCTCCAGAAGACGTACACTTGCAGAATAAGTCGAGTTGCAATGAAGCCCACGAGTGCGCGCCTATGGCAGACACCAGACGGTGATGCACAGTCGTGCTCGGCAGGAACCGTCGAGTCTAGAATATCCATATCATGTCTGGTATGTACATATTAGATATCTCTCACCTTATTCTGAACTCAGGGGACAGTAACAGAGCCAGTGCACCCAAGCCTGGGCTTTCGGGCCGGGCTTGGGCTTGACTACGCTCCGAGCCCGGCCTTGAGCCCACTGCCAGGCTTGGCTCGGGTCAGGCTTTTTGGGCCGGGCTTGGCGGGCTCGCAGGCTTTGAGGCCTGGCCCGCACATCACTACTTGAGACCGACGTTGCCATTATAGGAAGGTAGTCCAACGCAAGCGAAGCCCACGTAGGATACCGGTATGCATTCCGCTGTCAAGAGCAATGAGTAAAGACTTGTTTCGCATTCGAAAATTTGAGACATACCCCCCACCACTGCACATGAGAGACGCCCGGAGGGATATCTTCTCTTGTCTGAAGATAACGACGATACTCTGCATACCATGGCTTGCTTGCACTTGTACTGTCCGAACCTAGCTGCGTCTCGTCGTCATCTGACTCGTTGTCCGAGAGAACGCGCTTGCTCGTCTGCGGCTTGAGAGAGGCGCCGGGCTTGGAAGATGTGGCCGTTGCAGCTGACTGCATTGAAGCAGCGTTAAGCTTCGTGTAGCGTTCACTAAACTGCTACAAATGTAAGCGAAAATGATCTTGTCAAGCATATAAGCAACTCACGACTTGTTCCATTAATGCTTCGGCCTCCTTCTGAAGGCCAACATCCCAATGCTTCTCGAAATGAGAACCTTTGGCGTCAGGTGCGAGATCTGCGTTAGAGACACACATTAGTCATGAATGCACAAAGTGCTACCCAATGAGAATACGTACACATTGAGATGATGTAAGCCTTCGAGTCACCCATCTTGTCGTAGTACTCCACAATCTTGTCTGCACCCGCATGCAGTGCATTGGAGAAGTGAGAGTAGCGATCCTTTGCGGCACGTGTGGACCATGCCTTGTGCAAGCCTTCGAGAGCTGGAATGGCATACTGCAGGCACGGGTGAGTTTCAGATGAAAACGCATGCTGGCGTTCATCAGCATGCTGTAGTTCAAGATGTTAGCGGCGTACAATGACCAGTGCAAATAACCTTACTGCGAGCAGCTGCGTGAACAGATCCGCACGCTCCCACTCGTCGCTTGTCAGCCGCAGCGCCTCTAGCTTGCGCCGCTTTGTTTTGTCCTTCTCATCACGGGCTATAGCTGTTACAAAGTTGTCGACATGCTATTATGAGCAATGTCAGCACAGTGAAGTACGAAGAG